GTATACAGTAATTTACTCATATGTTTAAAGTATTTATTTCATGGAGGCTTACTGCGTGCTGGACACCTATCTAGGCTGTGCTGATTCTGTGATGAACAAAACAGACACATTTTCTGCCTATCGGAGCTTCTAGTGGAGGAGACAAGCAATAAAATAAACTCAGGTGATTTAAAAAACTGTGAAGAAAAATAAAAAAAATTTGGCCACTAGATGGAGTTCATAACTTTCTTAATTTCTCTCAGTTAATAAGAACAGCTGCTAACATGATACCACTAAAATTGTTTTAGGGTTAGGTGACATGGCCCTGTTTCCTACCTCTCCATCCAAATTTGTGGTTTTTTTTTCTACTCCTTGACTGAAGGTAGTTTGATTAAGACATAATAAGGAACATTTATTTATTTATTTATTTATTTGTTTATTTATTTATTTATTTTTTCGGGCAAGACGCGGACGCAGTAGGGTGGGATCTGTAGTCCGCGGGCTTCTGTTCCTGACTCACCGCTGTTGTCTCTCGCCGAGGAACCAGTCGGTCAGGAAGCTGCTCGCAGCCATGGCTTTTAAAGACACCGAAAGACACCCGTGGAACCGCAGGTGGCGATTCACCGAATTAGAATTACGCTAACCAGACACAGTGTGAAATCTTCCGAGAAGGTGTGTGCCAACTTGATCAGAGATGCAAAGGATAAGAACCTCAAAGTTAAAGGACCTGTTCGCATGCCTACCAAGACTCTGGGAATCACTACAAGGAAAACTCCATGTGGTGAAAGTTCTAAGACTTGGGATCGTTTTCTGATGAGGATTCACAAGCGACTCATTGACTTGTACAGTCCTTCTGAGATTGTTAAATAGATTGCTTCCTTCAGCACTGAGCCAGGAGTTGAGGTTGAAGTCACCATAGCAGACGCTTAAGCCAACCTTTTTAATAAAGTGATAATCACTTGTTTAAAAAAAAGACATACTAAGGAGCTGTAAGAGATACCATGATGAGAGGTATTAGATCAACTATGTTAGATTTATTAAGTCATGGAAATCTCTGCTCAATTTAATTTTCTGTATTTGTTAATACCGCTGTACACCTGTGACGTAAGACTTAACTGCTCACTATCAGAGAGCCTACAACCTTGTTTCCCAGTCCTTGGCAGAGTATTTAGAAGATACTTACTAGTTATCTTTTTTTTTTTTTTTTTTGTGGGACCCTCGCTGGTGGCGGGGATGGAACTAGTCTAATGGGGTTGCTGTTTCCCATGAAGCCTCAGCTAGCTTCCTAGGGATCTCCAGATAGGTTGGAGATAGGTTGGAAAATATTTTCTACAAGAAAATCTGGGTAAGTTTGCCCATCTTGTGTTCTAAGAACTGCTCTCTCTGAAAGAACTTTCAGTAGTTAGGAAGGGTAGTACATGTGTGTAGATGGTAGTCATATTATTTGGCATTCTGAGTTCTAGACCATACTTTATCTTCTGCTTTCTACCTAGATAATACACATAGTGAATATATGTTTAATATCCAGTGAAACTTAACCACTGTTTGGTGTATGCTTTCATCAGGGCTAACTCAAGACTAAAGTGTCTTGAAACTTTTTTTTTTTTTAAGATTTATTTATTTATTAATACAAGCACTGGGTACAGTCAGAAGCGCAGGAGGGTGAGAGAATTCACCAGAGCCAGAGCGGGGAACAGAACAGGCAAATTGACAAAATACACTGCTGAGGGGAGCAGTGGGCACGGCGGGAGAGGTCTGTCACTCCATGTGGAATCCTCGCTGGCGGCCCGTGAGCGAACCAGCATTGCAGAGGCTGCGGGCAGCTTTGCAGCCCAGCACTCAGGGGAGGCCCGTCTTGAACCTTCTTTACAGTAAATAGGTGGAACAACATATAAACTAGTAGGGTGTGGAATATAAGAAAATTCAAGAATTCTGATCTCTCTTCTGATCTTTTCATCTTAGATTGTTTTTCAACAGAGACCCTGTGCATGTTTTCTTAGATTTGTACCTAATCTAAATGTACCTTAGATTTGTATATCATATTTTTGGTAGCAATTATAAATGGTATTGTTAACATCTTACATTTTATTATTTTAAAAACTTTCTGTTGTATTGTTTTCAAATTTTATTGATTTGATATTCTTATTTCACAGTTTTTCTATCTTGTGTTTGGATGTTGATGGAATGAATATGAGTGCAGATATTTCCTCAAGACCTTGATTTTATTTATTTATTTTTAAAGATTTATTTATTTATTTATACAAGTACTGGGTACAAGTACTGGGTACAGTCAGAAGCGCGGGAGGGTGAGAGAATTCACCAGAGCCAGAGTGGGAGGCAGAGCAGGCAGAATGACGAAGTACACTGCTGAGGAGAGCAGGGGGCAGCAGGAGAGGTCTGTGCACGCTGTGGGACCCACACCCGGTGGCTGGAGATCGAACCGGCACTGTAGAGGCTGCGGGCAGCTTCACAACCCAGCGCTCAACTGCTGCGCATACAAGAACTGGGGTACAGGCCTGAGGTGCAGGGGCAGGGGAGTGAGAGGATTCACTACAGACAGAGTGGGAAACAGAACAGGTGGATTGACTGAAATACCCTGCTGAGGGGAGCAATGGGAGAAACAGGAGAAGTCTGCTGTGCCATGTGGGTTAGCTACCTGGCCAGGGATTGAACTCATGTTGCAGTGGCTGCAGATAGCTTCTTAGTGCTGAGACTTAACCCCTTGCGCCATCAGGGAGGCCCAAGACCTTGATTTTAATTCTTCTGTATATATCCCCAGAAGTGGGATTGTTGGAGTAGATGGTAGTTCTAGTTTTGATGCCAATCCATACTATTTTCCATAGTTACTGCATTGATTTGCAATCCCTCTCACACTGTATATGGATTCCAATTTCTCCTTATTCTTGTCAACACTACCTTTTGGGGTTGCTTTGATTAACACTTCCCGATGATTAGTGATATTGAGTATCATTTCATTCAGATTCTTTTCATGTGAGTATCTATTTAGGTATTAGAGAAATGTCTGTTCAAGTTCTTTAATCATTTTTTTTTTCCTAGAATCTGTCATTCAAGGGGTGAGGGCTCAACAACAGAATGTGATATGTGGTGGCTGGCAGGACAACAGACTGGTAGGTAAGATCTTGGAAAATCTTATTTGACTTGCCAAAGAGTTTGTCTTTCATCCATTATGCAATGGGGATGCCTTCTGGCTTTTTTGCATAGATTTCCAAAATTTATTTATGTTTTTACAAACACAAGAGGTAATAAGCAAATCAAGAGAATGCTGAAACTTGTAGTAGTTACAGAAGCAAATTAAAACAATAATGAAATATTATCCCTGTTTTTTTAATGAAGTTCTTATTTTCTTCACCACCATCCCTTACGTCTCCTTATCCCTTTCTCTCTCCCCACCCTCTTAACCCTGGAGCCCTCAGAATGTTTGTTGATGTCCACTAGTTGAAAGAATTTTATGTTGTCAAATTATCTGTTATGTGAATATCCATATTTGCTTTCATCGTTCTGACTTATATTGCTGCATGTAATTCAAATTCCCTTCATTTTGTTGAAAGTGGCTGATTTCAGTCTTTTTTCTTTGTGGCTATATAATCCTCCATGGTATGTATGTACTACATTTTCTCTATCCATTCATGCATTGAAGGAGATTTAGGCTGCTTCCATGTCCTACCTATTGTAAATAATGCTGCTGTGAATATTGTGGAACATATTTTTTGTTGTTGTTCGTGGTTTTGTATTCTGTGGATATATGCCCAAGAGTAATATTTGGGTAGTATGGCATTTACGTTGTTTTATTGGTGTTTCTCTTGAGGGATGAGGTTCATGACTTCCCATTCCATTGTCTTGCTGATGTCACTTAAGGATTTATTCTTTACTGCAAATTCAGTTTCTGCATAAGCTATAGGACAACTCAGATCATCTGTTTGACCATGGATGGGTTTTGGTAGTTTGTGCTTTTAAAGAAGTTGATTCATTTCATTCAAGTTGCTGAAACTCTAAGTTGAAGGTAGTAATAAAGTTGAAATATTAAAAATATTTCTTAGCGGACCTCCCCTGGTGGCACAGCGGTTGAGCGCTGGGCTGTGAAGCTGCCCTCAGCCTCTGCAGCACCGGTTCGATCCCCGGCCGCCGGCGAGGGACCCACATGGCGCCCAGACCTCTTCTGCCATGCCCACTGCTCCCCTCAGCAGTGGATTTCATCAGTCTGCCTGTTCTCTTCCCCGCTCTGGCTCTGGTGAATTCTCTCACCCTCCCGTGCTTCTGACTGTACCCAGTGCTTGTATAAATAAATAAATCTTTAAAAAAAAATTTCTTAGCTCTTTATGTTTGTGTTATTGTTCAGTGAATACATTTTCACTGGTCTAGTTGAGTCTTGGCCCGGACATAAGGGAATTTTACTACTTCATCAGGATCTCTGTGTTTGGTGTGAAATCCCTAGATTACAAAGTTTATATTTCCTTTCATTAAGCCCATAAGAGGAAAAGTAGAGACAAGAAGAACCTGTCACTTAAACTTGGAAAGACGTACTCTCTAAGTTAAAAAGTATTTTGACATAGAAACAGCATAGGGTCAGCAAGTGTTTGCCATTACATATGGTAGCTTTGGCAAACTAAGTGTACAACCTTATATTACCCTTTTTTGTCTCTTAGCATCCGAATGATCTATCTCAGATGTGGTGCATCAGGGGAAAAGTAGGGGTAGGAATCTTTATATTTAATATTTAGATTTTAGCATACATCTAGATTGAGAACTACTAGTGAAGGAAACATACCTTTACAGAAAGACAGTTTTTAATCTGTTCCTGGAGATATTATTTTTTTAAAAAAGCACTAAACAAGATGTTATGTAATTTGGAATCTGGTATATACTTATACCATCAAGGTAGGAATAAAAGTTAATTTTGCTTAGCTTCAATTTTCTTGATTTCATATGGTTAATAAAGAAACCATTATTTGGTTTTGAAGGCACTTATTTTTTCTACCATGAAATTTCTTCAACTAGTAAAAATGTATTTTACTTATTCTTTAATGACAATACAGCTTGGAAAAGAAAATACAAAGCATACAGACATAAACATTCCATCTAGCATCTTGTGGGTCTCATCTAATTCCCTATGAAGTTGCAGTTTAAGTGAGGAAACACCACTTAGCAGTGGAAGGACACATTCTACCTTCGATGGGAGGGTGTGGGGTATTCAAATGAATTTTTATTCCCAAATTTTTATTGCCCAAATGCAATCAGATTATTAATATGGATTTAATGGCATCAGCTGCTTCTCTGCTTTTCTCCCATCATGTAATTTCTTTTCTTCCATCATGTAATAATTTCTTTAATATTTATTTATATATATATACATATATATTACATCATTGTTTACATCATTTTTCATTTTTGTACAATGTTTGCTTTCTCCTCTCAGGTGTAATCCCTGTAAAATTCCTATCACCAAATATTTTCAAGATCTTAACATATACAAGCAAATCCATATATTCCTTATAAATGTAAGCAACTAAGGCAAATATATAAGAATTTGACCAATATGTCTATGCAGTAAGAGTTTGTAAACTATGTCTGTGGGCACCACCTATTATTGGAACACTGGTATGGCCATTCATTTATGTCTGTACCTAGGACTGCTGTCACCCTGGCAGATTTAAAAGTTGAGACAGACTATAAGTCACAAACTCGTGAATAATTACTGTCTAGTCTTTTACTGAAAAGTTATCCACCATTGCTATGAAGACTAAAACCTTACTTTTTGGTGAAAAACCTAAATGAACTCTTCAGAAATCTAAAGTCCAGTGAAATATATTTGTAACTTGAAAATTACTCTTAATTGCTTTCAGAAATACCAACCACTTACCAAAGGCTTTTGATAATTAGGATGAATTCTACATATAGTCACACTAAGAGCATTATTTTATTGATCAACATGTCAAAAAAAGTCTGTATTCTCTTGGGAAAATCAACAGAATCTCAAGTATGACTGAGGGGAAAGAGGTATCTGAGGGGCAAATAGTGCCAAAGGAATCAGTTTTACGGCAAAGGATAGAATTGGGCTTTTAATAGTAAACTTAGTGCAGTATATATGTATGTTAGTGTTTTAATGATGCGTACTTGAAACTTAAGCAATGTTATAATTCTATGCTACTTCAATAAAAAACAAGTGGGAGAAGACAGCCTAAGCTTTAAGGATTATATATGATCTACTAATTTAGCTCAGGTTTCTAACACATTATCATCATTGAAGTTCCATCTCTGAATGATATGTTGCTACAAATGCGTAATTGTCATCATATTAATATGTTTAGTGCAGTGTGAATTATCTAAAGTTCTAGTGTCCTTTTAAAATTATAATCTGGGTGAGCAAGATGGGAAAATTTCCACTTGTTAATGATCCAACAGCTAGTTACACTAACGGTTTCTCCTATATTCTTATGGTAATTCTGTGCAGATTCTAGATTTCTGTATCAGATGATTTACTTTAGCTTGAAATCCACCAGAGAGGATTGTCATTCCCGATGCCCAGGAATCCCATCATTTATCACAGGCTGTCAGTCTTGATGCAATGGAAAACTACATTGTCTTTCTTTTTTTTTTTTTAAGATTGATTGATTGATTGATTGATTGATTTATACAAGCACTGGGTACAGTCAGAAGCGCGGGAGGGTGAGAGAATTCACCAGAGTCAGAGGGGAGAGCAGAGCAGGCAGACTGATGAAGTACACTGCTGAGGGGAGCAGCGGGTGGCAAGAGAGGTCTGTGCGCCATGTGGGACCCTCACCCAGCGGCCAGGGATCAAACTAGTGCTGCAGAGGCAGCGGGCAACTTCGCAGCCCAGTGCTCAACCACTGCACCACTGGGGAGGCCCTACATTGTCTTTCTTAAGAGTCAATGTTGTGGAAGGGATCATGCTCAGCGAAATAAGCCAGAAAGAAAAAGAAAAATACTGGATGGTCTCACTCATAGCAGGAATCTAGAAAACTTAAATAAGGGACCAAGAAAAAGAATAACTATAAGAAAGAAAGTATAAAAATCAACAAACAACTATGAACCAGAGACACTCTATGGGGGGTAGGGGGCGGGGAAAGGAGGGATTGGGTTCAAAATAAGGGGGTTGCAATTGTAAGGGCAATATAAAAATAAAATAAAATTAAAAAAGAGTCAATGTTGTATCTGATATTGAAACCCACTTGGCCAAACTAATGGCCCAACTATGTCCCAATATAGTATATAAGACTTTGCTCAATATTTAGTTTTCTGCCAGTGGTCATGTGGAAGATGACAAAAACTAACTCATGATTCTGGGTATGTTGCCACAGAGATAAGATGCCTCCTTTTTATATAATACTTTTTTTTAGGAGGATGGACATGATTTCAATTAAAGTACTAAATACCTTTTTAAATTTTAAGTATTATAAAGATACAAGATCTAATTAATATCAAGTGTAGTGATTTTTCCAATATTATAAAAGTGCTTGAGTTATACCTAAGTTAAGAGTGACCAGGAATGCTATTGTACAGGTCTTCACCTTCACAGACATCTCTTCTTTGGTTTTTCCATCCTCTTTTGGAGATTCTGTATCTCATTTAGAGTTTTCTGATCCATTATAGAATCTTTCCTTTAATAGTCGGGCCTGTTCCTAAAGGATAAATGGAGACTGAGTAAAGTATAGTATTAAGTAGACCTCTATCTTCTATCTTGTTCCCACATTCATAGTTTTTTTTAGTAATTTCTTTTAAAAAAAAAAGATTTATTTATTTATGCATTCAAGAACTGGGATACAGGCCAGAGGTGTGTGGGGGGTGAGAGGATTCACCAGAGACAAAGTGGGGAACAGAACAGGTGGATTGACTGAAATACACTGCTGAGGGGAGCAGCGGGCAAGTCAGGAGAGGTCTGCTGCACCATGTGGGTCACCTCCCTGGCCAGGAATTGAACCGGTGCTGCAGTAGCTGTGGATAGCTTCATAGTGCTGCCTCTTAACCCCTTGCGCCACCAAGGGCGGCCCTTTTTCAGTAATTTTTTTGAAATTTTCTCTACTTTTAATTTTTATTCTTCTTCTTATGGACAACCTAGCCCTATAATTACTTTTTTTTTATTATCCTTTGCTAAGAAAGATTTTCAACTTAAACATCCTGATATATTGATATACCTAAATTACCAGCCTTGTTCTCTGTTCCCATTACCTCTATATACTTGTTGTGGGCAATTTCATTAGATATTTGGCATCAAATATTATCTATGCATTATATACTCTTTTGCACACAGATATATGACACAGAAATAAAGAATTCTCAAAATCTGTTGAAGTATCTGAATCTTAGATTATAGCATCTGATGTAATCTCCATAACTTGGTGGCAGTAGTAATAACATTAGGAAAGGAAATCAGAGTCCTAGATATACCAAACTGGATTACTGAAGGATACACTGATGAAGGACTGGACTGATAAAACTGCAAATAAGATCTTAACAACTAGACACAGGCAAGGGCATTCAGGCTGCTTTTAAGATATTGAAAAGTATAAGCAGACAAGCAAGGCCCTGCTTCTGGGCTTCATATCCTCACCACCACACTAAGGCTGATCAGGGAGACTAGAGAAAAGACAGACACCTGAATGTGATGCAATTAAATACCTGAAGTTTAAGGGCAAGAGTCCTCTCTTGCTCTTCCAGCAGCTGGACCCTGTCCCTCTCCATCTTCTCAGTCAATTGTCTCACATGTTCCTGATAACTCTTTTCTTTCTGTTCCATCATCTGTTGATTCCTTGTTAGCCTTTCCTCTAACATTTTTGCTGAAGCCTGAGCAGATTCTGCTTTCACACGTTCCACTGTCAGGAGGAAAAGGAAGAAAAAATTGTATGTGGGAAACCAGGTTGTTACCTTGTTCCTTGTACACTGACCTTCATCGTTGCTGCTGACTGCAGATGCCCTAGTCAGAAATGGCCTCAGGGCCTCCCCGGTGGCGCAGCAGTTGAGCACTGGGCTGCAAAGCTGCCCGCAGCCTCTTCAGCGCCAGTTCAATCCCCGGCCCCTGGCAAGGGTCCCACATGGCGCGCAGACCTCTCCTGCCATGCCTGGTGCTCCCCTCAGCAGTGTACTTCGTTAGTCGGCCTGTTCTGTTCCCTGCTCTGGCTCTGGAGAAATCTCTCACCCTCCTGCGCTTCTGACCGTACCCAGTGCTTGTATAAGTAAATAAATAAATCTTTAAAAAAAAAAAAAAAAAAGAAATGACCTCAGCAGTAAGAGGCATCTTTGCTGCTCTTGTTCTTGCTGAGATTCACCCAGCCAAGTTAGTTAAACTAAGAGATTTTGAGGTTCTCTAGTCTCCTCACCTTTAATTTCTTTTTCCTTTCTTGTGAGCATCTGGTCTGTCTGTAGAATGGCATCAGTCACAGATTCCATGGATGCCAAGTATTTCTGAAGAATCTCTTCAGCCTTAGGACCCAGAGAACAAGCAGTTAGTGATAGGAAATATCTGCAAGCACTTGCCCCTGCCCTGACTGTCCACCATCTTTTCCTCTAGGACTTTGTCCTCCTGGGCCTGTGAAATGGTGGTCAAGAGTCCTGTCACAGTGGTGTGGGTGCATGTTCTGTGCTGCCAATCTGCTAACCCTGTTAAGCAAAGTTATATATATGTGTGTGTATATATATACACACACACGGGTATATGCATATATGTGTATATATATGTATAAACTGGAAATATAAGATTCTGTTCCTATAGACAGAGGGATCTAATTTTGGAGTTCTAGTGCTATGTTCCCATTTGGGGTGAAGTTGCTTTAGAATGAAGGCATCATGCAGAAGGCACATCAGAGCAAAACAGGCGGAGGATGAGAGGGAGGGAGGGAAGTGTGGGTTTGAGGGAGAATAACTGCAGAGAGGCAGATGATAACATGATTTAAATTCTTGTATTTGCTACTTAAGGGCAGTTTGAAACCTAAACTGGTAAATTACCATGATTTTGAAAGCGACTATCATTGGGTATCTGTCCTCTGTACTATTTTTTTAATTTAATTTTCTATTTTTGCTCAGAAGAATTGGGTGTAGGCCAGAGGTGTGGGGAGTGAGAGGATTCACCAGAGGCAGAGTGGGAAGCAGAACAGGTGGATTCACTGAAATACACTGCTAAGTGGAGCAGCGAGCATGACAGAAGAGGTCTGCTGCACTGTATGTGGGTCAGCTCCCTGACTAAGGAACAAACTCAGGTTGTAGTGGTGATAGTGCTGAGACTTAACCCATAGACCACCAGGGAGGCCCTTCTCTGCAATATTTGACCCCAGCTGTAATAGTGAATTGCAAATAGCCTAGTGATTAATCTGATAAACCAACTTATAATTCACTTGTTAACTAAGTGTACACTCTTGGATGAGTATAGGATGCATATCATAGAAACTCAACAGGCTCCCTGTGCAAGTTGATTGAATGAAAGTGTGAATTGCACATCTATGTACAATTGCACTTGGCCACTTTGTTGTTACAAGGGTGCATGTCAGCACCTTCCCAGAATTAACAGCTAAATCTAGATTACCTGCATCCCTTTCCAGGGTTGTTGAAAGTACTTTTTCTTCAGCTCTTGTATTTTCTGGATGTAGAGACAATAGCCCCCTGGTTTAGAATATATCCCCTGTTTTACATCTTCTTCAAGAGGAGTGAAAATATCCTTAAGTAAATCTGAACAACGATCTGATGATACTTTCAAATTCTGTTTAAAAAAATCTTCCTGCTTTTTTTCTAGCTGAGCCTTTAATATAAAAAATAAGGTATGAAAATAATAAGGAAAAGGTAATACATTGACCTCAGAATTTCTTTGCAAGTCCCTTTATAATTGGAGGTGAAATCTGCTAACTTTATATCATACCATTAGATATAAACTTCTGCTTTTTAAATTAGACCAATGATTGCATATGGAGTAAAGGTGGTTCAGCTAAGACTGCTGAAAGGAACTGAAACTATAGTTTACTTTGCTTTTGACTAGAATATCAAATCAGTCTCATAACATAGGGATGCAATTCGATTAGAAGCCCTGATTGTTGCATAGGGAAGATGTTTAATTTATTCATGAAAAAAATGTGAAGTGTTTGAGTCCATTACATTTTCTAATAGTACTTTGCTTTCTGAGACCTTAATCCATATGAACTTGAGAAAAAAAATTACCACTAATTCCTTTTGAAATAAATGGTCTATATCTTTGAAGGAACTCTTCATGAAGACTTCAGTGGCCTCTCTGGCAAAGGCCCTGTGCAGATACAGCAGCTCCTGGAGGGTTTCTGCGGGCAGGTGCGCATTCTGCTCCATCAGTTGTTCATAGCGGGCAATGGCCTTTTGCACTGCAGCTGAGTTCTCTATCTGGGCCAAGGCCAGGACTGCATTCTCCATGCAGGGCAGCTTCCCACTGCTGATGGCATCGACATAGGTCACCACCAAGCTCTGTAGACCTACAGAGAACAAATGATGATGCTTGTTGTAGATGGGGCAAGGAAATGTTCTGGTATGAAAGTTTGTAATTATGTGTATTACCACCTATTTGCCTCACAGCATCAATGTCCTCGGTATCACCTGGGAGTTTGCAGCTATTAATGCAGACTCTGCCTCTGGATTAGACCCTCCTCTCTGGCAAGAGCCCTGGTGATATATGTGCACATCAGAGGTGTTGGTGTGGTTCTTTCAGTCCTTCTGTCTTTTCTCACCCAAGAAATTCTACAAGGCAGATGCTATCCCTTCCAGGTTTAGTGTCATCAGTGAGAATAAAGACTGGAAGAGGACTCACGGGTTCCATTGACCTGGATGCCTCCCAAAACTGTTTTAGTTTTAGAATTGCTGAAGATGTAGTCACAGAAGACTGAAGTTTGTTGCACAAATTCAGGGTCCAGCTCATCATCATGCAACGTCTCCAACTGCTTTAGTTTCTCCCGGTGAGTGGGCCGATCAAAGATAAAGCATTTCTTCTTTGGGAAGAACTTCCGGATACAGAGTCGGGGCAGATTAAAATTTCTATCTTTTTCACTGGAACCTGGAAGAAGACAAAAAAGGTACTTGGCGGATATAGGTTCTTACAAACTTTTACTATAAAGGGTCAAACAGTAAATATTTTAGCTTTTGTCTTTTTTTTTTTTTTTTTAAATATTAAATTTTATTTTTATATTCCCCCATACAATTGCAAACGCCCCATTCTGACCCCAATCCTTCCCCTCCCGCCCCCCACCCCCCAAATAGTGTCTCTGGTTCATAGTTTTTTGTTGATTTTGATTTTCACTTTCTTATATTCATTTTCCTGGTCCCTTATTTAAGTTTTCTAGATTCCTGCTATGAGTGAGACCATCCGGTATTTTTCTTTTTTTCTTTTGGCTTATTTCGCTGAGCATGATCCCTTCCAGTGCCATCCATGTTGCTGCAAATTGCATGTGTTTATCTTTTTTGAATGCTGAGTAATATTCCATGGTATATATGTACCACATCTTCTTGATCCAGTCATCTATTTTTGGGCATTTGGGTTGTTTCCAAAGCTTAGCTATTGTAAACAGTGCTGCTATAAACATAGGAGTGCAGGTGCTCTTTGGAATTGATGTTTCTGTGTCCTTTGGGTAAATACCTAGGAGTGGAATTGCTGGATCATATGGAAGCTCTATGTTTAGTAGGTCCAGAAATCTCCACACAGCTCTCCATAGTGGTTGGACCAGTTTGCACTCCCACCAACAGTGCACAAGAGTTCCTTTTTCTCCACATCCTCGCCAACATTTGTTGTTGCTAGTTTTTTTAATATGTGCCATTCTCACTGGTGTGAGATGGTATCTCATGGTAGTTTTGATTTGCATTTCCCTGATTACAAGTGATGTTGAACATTTTTTCATATGTCTGTTGGCCATTTGCATTTCCTCTTCAGAGAAGTTTCTTTTTAGCTCTTCTGCCCATTTTTTGACTGGATTATTTTCTTTGTTGTTGCTGAGTCTCATCAGCTCTTTGCAGATTTTTGTGATCAGTCCTTTATCATTAGTGTGGGTGCAAAAATGTTCTCCCAGTTGGTGGGGTTTCTCTTTGTTTTTGTTATTGTCTCTTTTGCTGTGCAGAAGCTCTTTAATTTGATGTAGTCCCAGCTGTTTATCTTTCTCTTCACTATCACTGCTTTGGGTGATGTGTCTGTAAAGATGTCTTTGATGTGCAAATCCCGTAGTGTTTCGCCTATATTTCCTTCTATGTATTTTATGGTTTCAGGTCTTATGTCTAGTTCTTTAATCCATTTTGAGTTGATTTTTGTGTATGGTGTGAGGTAGTGGTCAAGCTTCATTCTTTTGCATGTAGCGACCCAGTTTTTCCCAGCACCATTTATTGAACAAACTTTCTTTGCTCCAATGCATAGTCTTCGCTCCTTTGTCAAAGATTAGTTGACCATAAATCTGTGGGTTTATTTCTGGATTTTCTATTCGATTCCATTGGTCTGTATGTCTGTTCTTGTTCCAATACCATGCAGTTTTGATGATTATGGCTTTGTAGTATAGTTTGAAGTCTGGGAGTGTGATGCCTCCATTCCCTCTTTTTTTTTCAGTAGAGCTTTGGCTATTCGGGGTTTTTGGTGATTCCATATGAATTTCATCAATAATTGTTCTATTTCTTTGAAGAATGCCATTGAGATTTTGATTGGAATAGCATTGAATCTGTATATTGCTTTTGGTAGGATGGCCATTTTAATAATGTTTATTCTTCCAATCCATGAGCAGGGGATGTCTTTCCATTTCTTTGTGTCTTCTTCTATTTCTTTTAACAGTGTTTTATAGTTTTCTTTGTATAGGTCCTTTACCTCTTTTGTTAGATTTATTCCCAAATATTTGATTTTTTTTGTTTCGATAATAAAAGGGGTGGTTTTTTTGATTTCTTCTTCTTCAGATTTATTGTTTGTGTATAGGAAGGCTACTGACTTTTGCGTGTTGATTTTGTATCCTGCCACTTTACTGAATTGATTGATGAGTTGAATTAGTTTTTCTGTGGAGATTTTGGGGTTCTCTATGTATATTATCATATCATCTGCAAATAGTGATAGTTTGACTTCTTCTTTTCCTATTTGGATTCCTTGGATGTCTTTCTCTTGTCTTATTGCTCTGGCTAGGACTTCCAGTATTATATTGAAAAGCAGTGGTGAGAGTGGACATCCTTGTCTTGTTCCAGATCTTAATGGAATTGCTTTCAGCTTTTCACCATTGAGAATGATGCTGGCTGTTGGCTTGTCATAGATGGCCTTTATGATGTTGAGGTATGTTCCTTGTATCCCAAGAATTTCAAGGGCTTTTATCATGAATGGGTGTTGCACTTTGTCGAAAGCTTTCTCAGCATCTATTGATATTATCATATGGTTTTTATATTTCTTTTTGTTGATGTGTTGGATAACGTTGATTGATTTTCGGATGTTAAACCATCCTTGTGCCCCTGGAATGAATCCAACTTGGTCGTGGTGAATTATCTTATGGATACATTGTTGGATTCTGATAGCTAAAATTTTATTGAGGATTTTTGCATCAGTGTTCATTAGGGAGATTGGCCTATAGTTTTCCTTTTTTGTGTTGTCCTTATTCGGTTTTGGTATTAGTGTAATATTGGCTTCATAGAACGTGTTTGGTATTGTCCCTTCCTTCTCAATTTTTGGAAGAGTTTGTGAAGGATAGGCACTAATTCGTCTCTGAATGTTTGGTAGAATTCATTTGTAAATCCATCAGGTCCTGGGCTTTTGTTTTTGGGGAGGTTTTTAATTACCATTTCAATTTCGCTGCTTGTAATTGGTCTGTTTAGGTGTTCTATTTCTTCTTTATCTAGCTTTGGGTGATTGTAGAGTTGTAGGAATTTGTCCATCTCCTCTAGATTGTTGAACTTGTTTCCATATAACTGTTCATAGTAGTTACTGATTATTCTTTTGATTTCTGCTGTGTCCGTTGTGATTTCTCCTCTTTCATTTATGATTCTGTGTATTTGTGCTTTCTCCCTTTTTTCCTTTGTGAGCCTGGCTAGGGGTTTGTCTATTTTATTGATTTTTTCAAAGAACCAGCTCTTGGTTTCATTGATCTTTTGGATTGTTTTTTTAGTTTCAATTTCATTTATTTCTGCTTTGGTTTTTATTATTTCTTTTCTTCTACTGGTTCTGGGGTTTTTTTGTTGTTCTTTTTCTAGATCTTTGAGCTTCGAGATTAGGTTGTTTCTTTGAGTTCTTTCTTGTTTTTTGATGTGAGCTTCTATTGCTATATATTTTCCTCTTATTACTGCTTTTGCTGCATCCCATACATTTAGGATATTGGTGTCCTCCTTGTCATTCAATTCAAAGAATTTTTTAATTTCTTCTTTGATCTCCTCGTTAGTCCAGTGGTCTTCCAGTAGTGTGGCTTTTAATCTCCATGAGGTAGGATAGTTCCTTGCCTTCTTTTTATGATTTATTTCTAGTTTGATGCCTTCGTGGTCAAAAGATGGTTGGTATGATTTCAATCTTGGTGTATCTGTTGATGTTTGTCTTGTGCCCCAGTATGTGATCGATCCTGGAGAATGATCCGTGTGCGCTTGAGAAAAATGTGTACTCCGTTTTTTTTGTTTAGTGTTCTATAGATGTCTGTTAAGCCCAAATGCTCTAGGTCCTTATTTAGAGCTTTAGTTTCTTTACTTATTTTTTGTCTTGTTGATCTATCCATTGTTGATAGTGGTGTGTTGAAGTCTCCCACTACATATGTGTTTTCTCTGATGTCTGTTTTCAGAGAGGACAACAGTTGTCTGATATATTTTGGTGCTCTTTCGTTTGGTGAGTATATGTTAATGAGTGTTATTTCTTCTTGAAGTATTGTCCCCTTAATCATAATGTAGTGACCATTGGGGTCTCTTTTTATTTTTTGAGTTTGAAGTCTGTTTTATCTGATATAAGTATAGCTGTTCCTGCTTTCTTTTTGGCCCATTTGCTTGTAGGATTGTTTTCCATCCTTTGACTTTGAGCCTATTTTTATCTTTTGTAGCTAAATGTGTTTCCTGGAGACAGCAAAAGGTTGGGTTTTGTTTCTTAATCCAGGCTGCAACTCTGTGTCTTTTTATTGAAGAGTTTAGTCCATTTACATTTAGAGTTAATATTGATATGTTAGCATCTGTATTTGCCATTATGTTTGTCTTTCCTTTGATTTTATTTATTTATTCTTTTAATAACTTTTTTTTTTTTTTTTGGTCTTCTTTCGTTGTTATTCGTCCCTCTGAGGTTCTGGCTTTAGGATTCCTTGTAGTATTTTTTGGAGTGGGGGTTAGTCGCAATGAAATTCCGGAGTTTCTCTTTGTCTGGGAAGGTCCATATTCTTTCTTCATGGAGGAAAGAGAGCTTTGCGGGATAGAGTATTCTTGGTTGGCATCTGTTTTCTTGGAGTCTGTTGACTATGTCCCTCCACTCTCTCCTTGCCCGTAGTGTTTCTTCAGAGAAGTCTGATGTCAGCCTGATTGGTTTTCCTTTGAATGTTATCTGTTTCTTCCCTCTTGTCAGCTTCATTATTTTTCCTTGTCCTGGATTCTTGGGAGCTTTACTATTATGTGTCTTGCTGTGTTTTTCCTTTCGTCGTGGAAGTTTGGTGTTCTTCTTGCTTCTTGTATATCAATTTTCAGCTCCTTCTTCTCATTTGGGAAGTTCTCTTCAATTATATCCATGAATATTTTCTCTGTTCCTACATCTCTCTCCTCTCCTTCTGGAATTCCTATAACTCTTATATTTCCTTTCCTCATGGAGTCAGATAGTTCCCGAAGTCTTTCTTCATTCTTTTTCCTTCGTACTTCTCTTTCCTTTTCTGTTTTGGTTCTTTTTATTTCTGTGTCTTCAAGATTACTTATTCGTTCTTCCATTTCATCTATTCTGCTTTCATTGCTTTTCCCAGAGTTCTTTAGTTCCTCCATTAATTCTTTGATCTCCTGCATTTCTCTTACTTCCCTCTTTAGGGACTCAATTTCCTTCTTCTGATCTATCACTTTTTTAATCATGGCAATTTTAAATTCTCTTTCTGGAAGGCTCAGAAGTTC